CACACACCACACACACACACACACACACACTCAATACTCACACGCACACACACACACACTCAATACTCATGCACACACGCACACACACACACACACACACACACATGTCTGGTTTGCTACTCACACACACACACACACACACACACTCACACACACACACACACAAACTTTGAGACAAAATCAGATTAAAATGTCATTTTCAAGTTGTCGAATATGACAAATCATTTCAAAAAATGAAAAAAAAAGCAAATACAGTAAATAAATTGAATTACCTGATCGTTAAATCTGTCCTGAGCATGATATTAAATAAAATTCATGAAATTATATAATTCAAATTTCAGACTTTTTTTTTCTTTGCTTAAATTATGAATCTTTCTCACAATCTTTCATGATAACAATCAGATCATTATGTTCTTATACTGTATTTCTGGGATCTGGTATTTCAAACTAGATTCACTCTCTATGCACTGCTGTTAATGCTATCAATGTCTCCCTTTATAATCTCTGCGTATATATTTTGTGTGTACAAATCTAAAGCAGGACAAATAGCGTAGCATATAGCATATTCAAAGAGATGAAAACAAGCCATTTTAACAGTTCTGAACAGAATACAAATGATGATTCTCAAACTTCATGTGTCTCATCATAAAGGTCTGTTTAAGAGCTGCTACTTAAGAGCCTTAACTGTACGTGTTAAAAGCTGCTGTGTGTCTATATGTGGAGTGGAAACTTTAGAGTATCTTCTAGAAATGTCAGTTACGGGGTTTATTTCCTGTGTTCATCACACTCTCACATAAACTGACATGAGAAGCTATTTTAAACATACGAAAGAAGCAACATGAGCTGCAGCGGAAACTTTAAAGCGTCTCATGATTCACAAACTGAACAGAACGACCCTCATCAAACCAAACAACTGCTCAACACTCAATTATGGATTACAAGCAGATTTTATCAATAAACTGTGAATGCAAACAAATGTTAAAAAAAATTGTTTTGTAAAATGCTGGTGTTAAGTGAGTTTAGTTGAGTCTCATGTGGTGAATCTGATCGTGGTGTAATCAGAGTGAATCTCCTCCTTACTGAATCTGACTGTAGCGTCACTGAGAGTCTCTTCATGCTTCTGGAAACTGACAGCAGTGTACAGGAGCTCATCAGAGGGGATTGTGGGTAATTCATCATGATTCTTCATTTGAGCTGATCCAGGATCTGAGAGAGAATCACGTCTGCTGTCTGCACATGATGACTGAATGCAGATAAAATAGAGAGAAAATGCACGTTAAAAGAATGGCAGCTGGTGGGGGAAGGTTTTGAGGAGACTGAGGTGTAAATTAAAATTGATCGTTACCTGTGACAAAACAATATCACACTTGTAATTATCACAAAA